GGAGGAGAAAGAAAGAGAGAAGGAGGTACAAGACATAGTACGTCAATAACCCGAATACGACTTCATTGAAGATAGGAAAAATGAAGCACAGTGACGAACAATAGCTCGTCAGGCGTTCACCTGGCCGCCAACCAGGATCATCAGGAGCCTTGTCGCTTTGAGTACTTGAGCAACACTATATATCTTGTCATAAGGACTATGGAAAAATAAGCTAAGAGAAACCAAACATAAAAAAATAGCAAAAGAAAGAAAATAAAAAACGTGTATCCTAAAGCTGCAGTGACTTGCTCAAGTAACATCTACACCAACACTTCACCTGATCCCCACCACGTAGTGAGCCGTCGCCGGACCCTCACCTGATCCCCAAACGCAAGAAAATACCCTTGGGAACATCAGTACTACGTTTCATCAGCTATATTTGAACAGCGAACTTCTTTTTCTTTTTTCTTTTTTTCTTTTCTTTTTTTTTCCCTATTCTTCCTATTTCTCACTCACATTAATCACTTCAACAGACTATTCCTAAAGGACACCTTGTAGTTCCTAACCTACTGGCTAACAGATTCTACAGCAAAGTTCAAAAGCTCTAGATTAAAAGACTAGCCCCACTTTCCTTTCGAGCAATCAACAATTTTTACTTGGCTTTCTAATATAACTCCCTACTGAGAAAGTTAGCCTTAACTTACCCAATTATCACTGCAAACAGTGAACTTCAACACGTGCGAGACAGACCTTTCGGGAACTGCATGTGTATGACAAAAACTAAGAAACCGTAAAACAGACGGCCTAAGGTCACGTACTCGAAAAGATACGAAACATAGGCCACGAACAGATCACTAACTCGTAAGCACCGCTGCATCATGGGCTGTGCCGCGCCTTGCTGTAGTGCAACCCAAAGGCAACAACGCGAAGTGGTCGGGCAGGCAAGACTACCCTTATTAATATGGTGTGGCCCGATGGACCACGGATCAGATATTAAACTGATCAGAACAGATACTACACTTGATAAAACAGGGCCAAAAAAAACACAGGTTTGCGCTGAGAGACAACGGGGCTGTGCATCCTGGGAGCACTCGTCCAAATGTTTCTTTTTTTTCTTCGTTTTTTTTAATAAAAGCTGCCTTCTCGTCATCGGGGGATTAGTGTGAACTCTCTCTCTCTCTCTCTCTCTCTCTCTCTCTCTCTCTCTCTCTCTCTCTCTCTCTCTCTCTCTCTCTCTC